CCCCAAAACCCCAAAACCCCAAAACCCCAAAACCCCTTTTAAGGATATTTAAGTTGAAATGTAACTGTGACAAAATTTAAATTAATGTGATGCTTCTACCTTATTATCTGACATCTCTATCTCGGCTTCTACATCTTTTACAGGGGTAAATAGCTTGATCTTAACCATGAGAAGTCGGCCAAGAAAATACAAGACGATTGTAAAACTGAATGACATTAGTAACTCTGCAAAAATAAGAAGTACAACGAAAGGAGCACTTGAGGGGATAAGAAGTAATGGTACAAATGGGAGCATTCAAAGCAAGCTCACTCCAAGTCTTCCCAGAACTACCCACACGTTGTTGTTTAGGTATTTATCCACAATTGTTGGAGCATAGTAAGAGTACAGAATGATCCCTCCAAATCATCCAAAAATCCCAATGGGAGCGAAGATGTTTCTAAGAGCTTTGCGAACAAATATTGAGTTTTCTTTGAGATTACTTTTTGAACATTTCAGTTCAACTGCCGTATTCCATTCAGAAGGATCATCATGAGTCGTGATATTAAGTACATAGGCGATTACTGCAATTGTAGTTAAGACCAATAGGACCATTAAAAGGTTTATACTTAGATGCACAATAATTTCATTTCTGCTACATTTCCTTCTAGTGAACATATGAATATATCCCATCAAAGGCTTATACAGTACAAATACGAAGTACACCAATAATGTTAATCCTAGTGTACATCCGTAAATCACTTGGTCAATTGAGTGGACTCCTAAGTAGATCCTTCCGAATAAAGCCAGTCCTCAGATCGCAATGGTAAGGGCTCCAAAGATTGCTGGGAGGATATATTTCTTCTCTCTAAAGCAAATTAGACCTGAAACAGTTTCAATTGTAACTTACTTGATCTGACTTCTGAAAAGAAGAATGAACACAAGAGGAAACGGGAAGCTAAAGTACATCGCATGGCCAGAAGGATTCCCATATGATGTTGAACAGCTCAATGCTTCTATTTTTGGGGTATCGAAGAAAGGCCTTGGAGCATGATAGAGGATTTTTAGGATACCATTGATGTACAGACATGCTCCTACTGAGATAAGAAGGAAGCATGATTCTGAGAAAGGCAGAATATTTGCAGCAATCCAGCATGTGGCAATAATCCCAAAGCTTTCTCCAAGTTCACCTATGATTACCATGAAATAATCCATAAAAGAGTCTTTATCTTGTATGTCAGGTACGAACTTTTGCGTTTCTTTGTACAATGGTTTTTCATAAGCTAAATCAAGACAGACAAAAGCACCAAAAATTAGGATAAAAACTAGAGTCCAAATGAAGAAGATCTTCCAAGAAACTTCTTCCTTTCTTTGCTCTTTATTAGCAGGTTGGATGGCCTATAAAATGATTAACGGAGACCTACCTCATCTGAGCCATGCTGACTTCCTTTACTTCGGTTGTTTATATTTTCTGACATTTTATTTAAAATCTATTAACAAAATTTACACAGGGGTTTTGGGGTTTTGGGGTTTTGGGG